GAGAAAGGTAAGCAAGACTAAAGAACGTCTATTCTGACATCATTTGAGTCCTTCCTCAGTGGCATAACTGGGAATTCAGCTTGGGTTCCCTGCCATGCTCTTTGTGACCCTCAGTGGGTGGGGGCTAGTGAGCCACACCACTGCTCCAAGCCGCTAAGGGGCTGTTCATTTGCATGCTATTTTGCATTAACTTCTACATGTTTGCCAAGGGCCAGTCTGCCAGGTGCTGTCCCCCGCCTGGTCCTCTCGTGCTTCTATTTCTTCTTTGAGGGTACCCTCGTAGATGTACCCTACCATTCACCATGCTGGCTCTGCCCTGCTCCCTACTTCTGACAACTGGCTGTTGCTTGTGACCAGGCTGGCCTGGAATTCACAAGAGATCAGCCTGCTTCTGCCTTCCCAAGTGCTGGGATTAAAGGTGAAGGGGGGGGAGCAGACAGACAAGCCTCCATGCTTGCTTCCTGTATCTTCCATTTCAGTGTGTTCATTCCTGTTGTTCCTGGCCTTCAGCCCTCGAATTCCCAACTCTGCCTGCTCTGGCTAACCTCCTGATTGGTCACTACCCTGGGCATCTTCTCATCCAGTCATCTGGCTACACCCAGGGAACACTTACTGAATGTTCGTTAGGTTCTGGGAAGCTGTGGAGCGGTAAGCACAGCGAGGATTGAGATAGGCTCCAGACAGGGGGAGTTACAGGTGTTGTCTCAGGTAAAGATCCACCTGAGGTAGCTTTGGTGGCTAAAGGAACTCTTCTGATGACCCCCTTGGATTCCCCAAGAGAACCTGGAGGAACTCCAACTAAGTAATACTCAGGATCTCTTTGATACTGCCTCTCTTCCCAGAGCCCACCAAGATGGCAGAGTCCATGTAGGTGAGAAAGAAGGCAATCTAAATCTGGGGTTCTTTAGGGGAAAGGAAGGGCAGGAACCAGCGAGCTTCCCCCTGTCCTCACCCAGACCCACAACTGGGGAAACAGGTTTGCCAGCAGATGGTAGGTGGCTCTTGCCGCTGAAGGGAGGGGCCACCTGTGTTGCTGGCTGGGTGGCTGGTGACTGACGAAAAGGGTTTATTTTCTTTCTTTTTGAGACAAGTCTCAAAGTCTAGCCCAGATTGTAGCCCAGACTTTTGGCAATCCTCCTGCCTCAACCTCTCTTGTGTTGGGATCACAGGCATGTGCCATCACGCAGGGTCTCTTAACACCAGTGGGCTCCATCCTTACACACCCCAGGACATAAACACAATGGGTCTCTAGCGGCACTATCTCGCCTTCGGAGCCCAGCACCGAGGGGTGGGACAGTGTTTTGGAGGCAGGCAGGAAGGCTGTGCTAGGAGGCTGCCTGGCTTCCTCTCCCTAGGCAGCCTGACCCCACCCAACTCCTGGGTTCACTCTCACATCCTGGATTTATTTGTTGGCTCGGTCCCAGGCTGCCCCCTGCCTGTCCAGGCTTCCAAGACTGCAGGCAGCCAGCGTGTGCCCCACACCTAAGTCCTACTCTAAGAGGCTCCCTGGGAGGAGGTGGGGGCATAGCAGACGGGAGTGCTAACATCCCATCACCACACAGAGCTCAGCCTGGCATCTATGAAGGGGAACAGTCCTAGGAAGCTGTACCAGCACATCTCCAGCAGCCTAGCCCCCGCCTGAAAAACCAACAGTGACATCTCTTCCGATTCATCACCTGGTTTGAGCTCTCTTCACCCGGTCATCTCCCTTGAAGATGGAGACAGCAAGGCTGAGCCCAGGGGAAGCAGGCTTTTCTGACCTACACCAGCCAGAGTGGCTCCCTCTCTACAAAGTCCAGGTGGCCCGAGGGCAAGATTGTGTTGATTTACCGACGGGGAAATAGAGGCTTACAGGCGCAATGAGCTTGGGCTGGGTTACCCTAGGTGGGACTCTCCTACATACCACCAGCCTAAGGAGACTAAGGCAGTGTGGCCCCTAAGACTCAGACCATCAGCCAGTCTCTTCAGAGGGCCAGGGTTGAGCATGAACTCTCTCCGTATCCCCGCTCCCGGTGACAAGCTGTCCAGGGACATACAATGGACCATTGTGTCCAGGGCACACCTGAGCTAGGCACCTAGTGCCAAGCAGGTGCAAGGAGGGAGGCGTGACCCCGGATCACTGCCTGCTTCCAGTGCCGAAGGAAAGTGGAGCTTCTGTGTGTGACAGTCACATGGAATTTGAATCACAAGAGTCACAGCCCCTCCCGAGGGTCCCTGTCAGACACCCTTCCTGGCCTCCCCCTGACGACCCTGCCCCCTGAAGAATGGGGAGGTAGACTAAGGTTGCCTCAAGCACAGCAAGAGTTCGGCACTAAGTACTTCTCTGGAGGAGTCTAAGGTGACTAACGTCTGATCTACAGTAAGGAGTGGCACCTGCCGGGTCCCCCAGCCTACATGACATTCTAGCCACGACCACCTATCGCAAATGCGACCTTCCGGCAAAGCATCCTACATGCAAACCGAGTCCCTTTCTTCCCAGGTCTCAGTTTACCCAGTTGTGAAAGGGGTGAGGCGTGTCTGGCCAGGACAACTGAAGTTGCACAGTGTCGCTGGGGGACTTACAGTACAACGCGCGCCCGCGAACCCTGCCCCTGGCACAGATGCCCGAGGCAGCCGGCCGGCCTGAGGACGCACGTGTGTGCGGGGCAGGAGTCCCGCGTGTGCGCGCCTATCTGCGGCCGGGGGTGGGGGGTGTACCGGGCGCAGGTGCAGCAGGCACCGCGCGCCGGGGATCTGGGGACCTCGCGGGTCAGGGGCGGGACGGGCTCACCTGCGCGTAGTATAGCAGCCACAACTCGTAGAGCCGCTCCGAGGCGGCCATGGCCTGACCCGGCTCTGGCCCTGCTGCGCGCCACCTGTCGCCACCTCCTCCGCGCCGCCCGCCGGTTGCCCCGGGCCAGGCCCATGGGCGGGAGGGCGTCACTCCGGGGCGGAGCGGCTCTGTACTGCTGGGGGAAGTCCGCGGCTCCCGACCCTGTCGCGCTCAGCCACCAAGGTCTACACGCCCCTCCTCCTCCTCCTCCTCCTCCACCTCTCCGGGCAGGCCTCCGCCTGGCTTCCTACACTAGGCAGAGTGTCGCGGCGGCGGCCACCGCCCCGCCTCTCCCTGGACTGTGCAAAGGGCGGGGAGTCGTGCTGGAGGAGGAGCCTGGGGTCAGCGCGGCCCGGGAGGTCGCGCGGAGCCCCGCCCCCGCAGGCAGAGTCCGTTCCGAGCAGGATCATTTCTAGCTCCCGGCTCGGGGGGGGGTGCCCGCCTTCTGAGTCGCCCGTCCCGGGACACAATCTATCACACCTGGAATTACCGCGTTCCAGGAAGGGACTGCGGACTGCGGTTCGCGTGGGGATGAGTAAAGGTCCTACAACAAATACTAGTAACAACCTCGTCCGTGAGGACCGCTTGTGCGCTAACTACGAGCACGGCTCTGCTCTAGCTCACGGAAGACAGGGGCCACCTCTAGTTCCTGCTGAGTGTCGAGCTGGGAGGGAAGGATCACGAGGAGTTTAGGACACCTCCAGCCCACTCCCTCTAGGAAGCCGGAATTCCCAGCTGCTCCCTTGGAGGCAACCCTTCCTCCCGCAGCCCAGCGCTGGCTAGTCACCTTTTATTCCTTTGGCCTGAGGGAGAAGATGCCTCGGGGGTTCCTCATGCCTATTTTTATGGATGGAAAAACCGAGGACCCGGCTTCGGAATGAGGATCGCAGGGGCAGCAGGGACCAAGGATCTAGGCTGACTCTTTGCTGGGCCTCTGTCACCACCACCCTGTCCCTTCCCTCGTGCCCAGACTGCTTGTGAAGTGAGGGGGCCCCTGGGGTTGGATAGGACTCGGGTTCTTTGTCAGGAGTGGGGGAAAGTTTGCTAGGTCCAGACAGGTTCTATCAGTCCCAGGAACTGGCCAGTCTGGAGGGCTCTGGATCTTGAGTGGCCAAGAGAAGGCTGACTTTGTCCTTATTCCTGTCGGGTTTGTACTCTTGGAGCGGGCGGCCCTTACATGTTGGCCTTTTTTTTTCTAGCTCCATGCATCCTAGTCTGAATTTCCACGTCCTAAGCACGGACGGCCTATACAGCAGTCGGCCACCCTGTCTCCTACTGTGAGGGAAGGCCCTGGACAGAACCAAGACCGCCCGGGAGGACAGTGAGGTTCAGTGGCGTTTGAAGGGAGCTGGGAGGGCGGGAGGGGCATTCACCTGCGGACCAACCTTACAACACACGCTCCAGACCGGGAGCAACGCTGCTAAGGCGCTAGTCCTCCCCTGGGAAGGGCGGCAGCAGGGGCATGAAGCGGGTGCGTGCATCCGTGACCATCTGCCGCGAACTCTTCACACACTGGGAGGGAGGAGAGAGTTCTGTGGCGCCTAGCTGGCCCTGGTTGATGTTTGCTTTTCTCCGGAGACCGGAGCCTGACCCTGAGTAGGCTGCCGCTCCAGAAAGGGCTGAGAAGTCATTCTTGAGTTCAAAGGAAAAGGCCATGCAGCCAGGCCCCGAGCTGGGCAGGTCTGGAGCAGAGTGGACAGGGAGGCTTACGAGCAACTCATCAATCAGGCTGTGGACTAGGGGAGACGCTGCCCTCGGAGCGAGGCGGGAACCAGAGTGGCCACCCAGACTGCCTGGGCCCCTGAAGTGCTGGATTGTAAACGCGCGCCCCCGCACCCGGCCCAGCCAATGCTTCTCAAGGCCCCCAGAAGGCCCCGCACAGGCGGGTGAGGATGGGTAGGCATTCCAAGAGGGCCGCCAGGAGGCAAAAGCGGAGCAATCGACTCACTCTACCCTCTCCTCTCAGGTCTGAGTCGGCTTGCTGTCTCACTGACTCGGGCCGGACAGACAGAACCTTAACGCCTCTGCCCGGATCCAGCCGGCTCACTCGCCGGACAGGTGGCTCCGGAGCAAAGGGCGTGTCCTCCCGTAGCAACTCAGCGCTGATTGGCTTTCGGGGCTTCCGGCTCTCCATTCCCGTCCTTGGATTGGCTATAAAACACTCTTCTACTCACTGGGCCTGCGCGAAGCGGGGAGAAAAGGCGGGGCCTCGGGTAAGATGGCGGCGGCTGCTGCCGGTGTGGGCCGCCTTGAGGAAGAGGCGCTGCGGCGGAAAGAACGGCTGAAGGCCCTCCGGGAGAAAACCGGGCGCAAGGTAAGGAACGTGGAGTGAGAGCCGCAGGCATAGAGGCCGGTGTTCTGAGTCAGAGCGGGAGGGCTGAGGACGAGGGAAGCACTATACTCAAGGTGCGCGTGCGCGAGCGAGTGGCGCATGCGCAGTAGAGCGGCGCTGGCCTCGGCGGCTGAGATAGGCTCGTCTCTCCAGGGGCGGGCCTCGCGCGTGCGCTTTGGGCAGTGGTCCTCGCGCGACAGCTGAGAGGTGGCGCGCATGCTAGTCGTTGCAAGCGCCCCTTCTAGTTGCACATGTTCGGGGGGTTCGTTTTTGCACGTCTCTGGTTGCCTCGCCGGCCCGGCCTTCTGCCTGACACTACCTTCCAGAGCTCGGTTAGGTAGGACAGCCGAGTGACTTCGCTGTGCACGTGCAGCCGGAGTCGATCCGGCCAAAGTCCAAAAGCTGCAGACTCCGAAGCACCTTCCTTTCGTTAGCCCGGATTCATCTCTACTTGCTGGTCTTTTCAAAGTAATGACGAGGGCAAGCTCTGGAAGTCACTACCCATGTGCAGACTTCCGCCCTGTTACTCGACGCTGTGCTCTTTCACTTCTCCAGTGGAGGGATAACGCATTCACTTTTCGTGGGTTATTTTGAAACCTAGTAGCGAAAATCAGTCATGAAGGGACCCAACAGGCTGGAAGTCGTTGGCTCTATTGTTATACAGGCAAAAACGGTGTCCATTACTCAACAAAATAAAACAGATCTGACAGAGATGGGAGAAACCAGAGACTCCGCTTGCGATTTAAAAAACAAAACAAAACAGATTGGTCAGTCTCGGTTGGCTTTTGTTTTCCTTTCGGAATAACTGTGTTCTGTACCTCATACTACACTGTGAGAAAGCGAAAGGGGAAGTAGTTGAGAGCGAAAGCTGACCAAATGGGCTTCTGCTTTTGTTGGCAGCCCGGGAGAGCCATCAGATAATTGTCTTCCAGCGCCTGACCCAGGGAAGCTCAGGCTTGACCCTAATCCTCATCTGTCACTCTGCCTTACTTAGGCAAGGTTTCTTCTCTAACCCGAAGCTTGGTGGTGTTTCTTTTTTGTTTATTTGTTTTTGGGTAGGCTGGCAGCCAACAAGCCTAGAGATCCTCCAGTCCCTGCCCTTCCACAGTGTTAGAGTTATGGGCAAGTGCAAGCCTATACCCAGGTCCTCTTAACTACTGAGCCATCTCTCTAGCCCTAGCAATGAGATACATAGAGATAAATGGTTTTTTGTTTGTTTGTTTGTTTGTTTGAGATGGATTTTGCTGTATTGTCCAGGCTAACCTTGAATTTAGGATTCTTGTACTTTATTCTATCCTGAGGAGCTGGCATTACAGGCAGATGGTACCTTGTCCAGTTTTACATTATTTTGAATTGCGTAGCCTTGCAGTAAGTTTTTGTTGTTTGTTTTTGAGACAGGGTTTCTCTGCGTAGCCCTGACTGTCCTGGAACTCACTCTGTAGACCAGGCTGGTCTCAAACTCAGAGATCCTCCAACCTTCCAAGTGCCAGGATTAAAGGGGTGCGCCACCACACCTGGTTTGCAATAAGTTTTGAAATTAGTTTCTTTTCAAGATTGTTTTGGCCACTAAGGTTCACTTAAGATTCCCTATGGAACTAGAGATGGTGATGCACGGTTGTTACCCTATCAGTTGAGAGCCTTAGGCAGCAAGGCTGCTGCAAGCTTAGGCCAACCTTGGATGTACATTGAAAGGAACCCTCTCTCAAAAGAATAAAACAGAAGATTCCATCTGAATTTTGGAATGAGTTTTCCTGTTTTGTAAAAAGCATTGTTGAGATTTTGTAGGGCTTGTCTTGAATCTAAATCACTCAGGATAATGTCATCATGTTATATAAGTTAAATTTTACTAGTCCGTGAATATGGGATGCCTTTCTATTTAACTAAGTTGTTTTTAGTTTCTTCAGCTATGGATGTTGTTAGGCTTTTTTGGTTTTGTTTTGTGGTTGTCTTTGCTTTGTTTTTGTTTTTGTTTTGTCTTTGCTTTTGAGATAGGATTTTTTGGAGCCTGAGATTGTTTTCAAACTCACCAAGCAGTAGAGGATGACCTTGAATTTCTAATCCCTCTGCCTCCAACCTCAGTGCTGGGATTATAAACCTGAGCCACTAAAATGGATTTTTACATGGTGCTGGGGACCTTTTGAATGTATGCTAGAATTGACCACTGAAGTGGTCTGGGTTTTGAGGATTCTATCTTTTCTTTGGCCAGGAGGAGCATGTACTGTTAATGTGAATTTGGGTGTGTAGGTGTCTAGATACATGTCAATATTAGGTGCTTTCTTGGTTTCATTCTGTCTCTTGTATATGTACATGTGTCTGTAGTGTGTATATGTGCACATGTGTGCATGTGTGTTATGCTTTTGGAGACCACAGGTTGATATCAGGTGTGAGATAGGGTTTCTCTCACTGTATTCATGCTCAGATAACCTATGCTAAGCAAAATAAGCCAAACACAACAGGATATCTGCTATCTAAAGAAGTATCTAGAGAGGGAAATTCAAACCTCATAGAAAGTAAATTGGAGCTGGAGTGAAGGAAATGGTAAATTATTGCCTAATAGGTGTAGTGTTTCTGCTGAAGTTGGGAAAAGCTTTGGAGACAGTAGTGATGATTATGCAACACTGCATAAACTTAGTTCAACTGAAAATGAGTTAAGCAGCAAGTTTCGTGTTTTATATAGTCTACCACACACATACAAATGTGACAGGAAGGGAGACAGCAATGAAGCAGGGGAAGAGAAGTTGTGACAAAACTATAGCCCTCTGTTTTCTTTCTCTTTTCGAAAATGTGTTTATTTTATTTTACATTATTTTATGTATCTGAGTGTTTTGCCTGCATGTGTGTGTGTGTACACCACTTACATATGATGCCACCAGGTCAGAAGAGGGTACCTGAGTCCTGGAACTTGAATTATAGATGACTGTTAGCTTCCTTGTAGGTGCTAGAAACTGAACCCAGGTCCTCCAGAAGAGCAATGGGTGCTCTAAGCTGCTGAGCCATCTCTTCAGCCCTCTACTGTGGATTCTTTTTGTTGTTGTTTGTTTTCAAGACAGGGTCTTTCTTTGTAGCCCTGATTGTCCTGGAACTCACTCTGGAGACCAGGCTGGTCTCGAACTCAGAGAGATCTGCCTGCCTCACCTCCCAAATCCTGGCTTCTACTGTGGATTTTTTTTTTCCTTTGGTTTTTCGAGACAGGGTTTCTCTGTTTTGTTTTGGAGGCTGTCTTGGAACTCGCTCTGTAGACCAGGCTGGCCTCGAACTCACAGAGATCCGCCTGCCTCTGCCTCCCGAGTGCTGGGATTAAAGGCGTGCGCCACCAACACCCAGCCTATTGTGGATTCTTAAACTTGTTCTTCACCTATATGGTAACTGAATATCTTTTGGAATAATGATTAGAGGTTTGGCACAGATGGCATAGGCTAGTATCTTCAAAGAGACGTTCAGCCAGACAGGCCTTGTTTACCTCCGTTTCATCTGCAAACCATCATTTACATTCTGGTTTTGAGGTCCTGAAGTTATTTCTTACTCCAGATGCTGGGAGTTTGCAGATCAGCTCACTGAACTCCCGAGAGCATCTCATTTCACTGAGTGCCACAGTATCTGCCTATACCCCTCCTGGAGCAGGCACACTCTGTGTGGCTTTTGTAGCCAGCTGCTTTCTGCATGTCTTACTGCCAGTGGACCTTCGAGTGGTCTTGCTGTTTATAAGCCATCTTAGCCTACCCTTTCTCTTTGGCTAGAGAGCGGTGGGCCACAGGTTGGCTGGCATTAGTGGCAGCAGTGTGGTGGTAGCTACAAAAACACAAATTCACTGCAGCCATTCTAACCCTGAAAGGCAGACTAGAATAAGCTGTGTCTTGTAGTGCCCAGCACTATGAGAGGAGGTCGTATCACACACAGGAAATTTGGAAATGATCTAAATTCAAACCTGAAATACAATTTCAAGTGATACAAATGTGCATCATTTCACAATGAAAAGTTTTTTGAAATCTAGGAGAGCTGGATCAGTGCATAAGACATTTGTTGTGCAAACCTGATGATCTGAGTTTGATCCTTAGAGCCAAAGTCAAAACGCCAGACGTGGAAGCCCATGCTTATAACGCAGTACTTCTAGAGTGAGGCAGAGGAGGGGTCAGCAGAAGCTCATGGTTTTGAAGATGTGTGTGTGTGTGTGTGTGTGTGTGTGTGTGTGTGTGTGTGTGTATGTGTGTGTGTGTGTGTGTGTGTTGGAGGGTGCACAGGCACAGCGTGCCCCAGTGCACCCTTGGAGGTTAGATGTTTGGTGCTGTGTACACCAGGTGCTGGCCAGTGAACTTCTGAGGATCCTCTAGTTTTCACCTCACTGGAGAAGCACTAGGATAACAGGTAGGTTCTGGGGATTTGAACTCAGGGCCTTAGACATTTTGCCCACCAAACCATCTCCCCAACCCAATTTTTGTTAAAGAACAGATGATGCACAACACCCAGTACTTATCAGAGAGCACACAGTGGCTACGTACAGCTCAGTGATAGGCTGTATAGTTAGAGTGCTTAAGATCTGTGGCCACCCTAGCACCATGAAGAAGAAAAGAGATTATACAGTAAGGAGTTTGCAGACACACTCTCGTGTGTATCACCTCAGCAAGGAGGAGCAGCAGCAGCAACAGTGCTTGGTGGTTGTAATCCGAGGTGCTCAGGATTATGAATTCAAAAGGTATGCCTGGATTACAGAATGAGTTCAAAGCTAGTTTAACAAGACCGTGTCTCAGAATGAGAGGACTGGGAATACATAGCTCAGTGGTGCAGTGAGTGCCTAACTGGCCTGAGGATCTAAATTTGATCATCAGTGCCACAAAAAATAAAGGTAAGATTTCAGTGTGTAAAAGTCATCATTAGCTGGGAGTGGTGACACACACCTATAATCCCAGCAGAGGCAGGGGCATCTCTGAGTTTGGGGCCAGCCAGGGCTACACAGAGAAACCCTGTCTTGAAAAACCAACCAACCA